ATGCAGTTCAAGAGAAAACACAAATGCATTTGGTACTGTTGCATTTAATTGCCCCGTCTATGGCCTCAGCGTAATGTTGCGGAAAGAGTGAGGCCCAGTAGAGGGACTTCATATTTGAAGATGTATTGTTTATCAAATATAACTGTTATTATCTGTTATTATAAAAGTTAAGTATATTGGTGATTAAATTCCAATTTTATTTTCCGACATGATATACTTTGCCTGATCCCTCTAAATCGTGTAAAAAGTGAATCACAATAGCCCAAACATATCCGGATTTCCGTCTGGTTTGTTAGTTACTATATACTTCCGGTTTGTATCTATAACAGTTTCTATAACTTTTAATGTCATGAATTTACATAACCACAGAAAAAAAAATCAAATAAAGAGATAATTTTGAGAATGTGTAGCAAAGCTAAACAGCGCTGTAAAAATAGGACCGCAGTAACTTTATACTAGCTACTTCCGTGACGAAGGATTTTGGAAGCATAGTATTTCGACGTTACCATGACTTCAATTGTTCGTACATGTTACCGGAAAAGAGCTTCGCTTCTTGCGCCTTCGGCGCAAGAAGAGCTGCGCTCTTATTATTACATTGTTCACATATAACCTTTCGAGGGCATAGTCTTTCAAATTTATTCAAAGTAAATAGTAGATAAAGTCCGATAATATCGAACAGACGTACAAAACACCTTCCAGACGTTGATGGGGGTAATTTCGACCGCAGCGTGGGGAACTTCGACCGACTGTTTGATTTATTAGGAAACGAGACACACGTAAGGCGGTTTTTTAATAAAGCGATCCATACCCCATATACATGTACTATTATATATTAATTAGCAACCTATGGCATAAAATGCAGTGAGTGTGTCGATATTGTTTCTTATTCATTTGGAATGCATCAGGAAAATAACTAAATGGTGTTTTTGGCCGGTTAAAAAGAGAAGGTTTACATGTTTCGATTGACTTTAGACGGGAGGAAAAAAACGTCGGAGGTGTACTGTTCACAGACCACAGGTGCTTGTATCGTTCACATATATACTGAACAAAAAAAGAAACGCACAAAG